TCTGGGGTGAGAGCCTGTGGAACTCCTACTTCCTGGCGTCCATCCTTCGCTATACCATCTCCCTCAACGTCACCTGGCTGGTCAACAGCGCCGCCCACATGTATGGAAACCGGCCCTATGACAAGCACATCAGCCCCCGGCAGAACCCGCTCGTCACTCTGGGCGCCATTGGTGAGCAGGGGGTTGACAGCCCGTGGGGAGGACAGAAGGCTGGATTTTCTCAGCTTCTTGAAGGTTTTGTGGAATCAGTAAAGAGAATGGGGGTGGGTGGAGTGGACTTCAGCTTTGGCCTTACAATACTGGTTTTTGGACAAGTCATGTGATCTCTCTGACTTACTGTTTTCTTATCTGTGAAATGGGAATTGAAATGAATACTTCATAGGACTAAGCTGCTTAGGACAGAGACCCACATGCACTGACTGATCAGTAATTGGCAGATATTTATTATTACCAGGGAAATTTTCTCTCCAAGCTCTGACCTTTCCAGCCTCAGCTGTCTAACTTGGCAGACTTTCAGGGAGAAAAGGCCTTTAAACAGAGAGATGGGAAGAAGTGAGGCTTGGCATCTCTTGGGACCAATAAATAGTTAAGAGTGGGACCTCTAAAGTCCAATGAGTTTGGTTGAATCCTGCTTCCTCCCCTTGCTCTTGGGGCGAGTTATCTGGCTCCCTGATGTTTTGTGTCCTGTCCTTATCTGTAAAGTGGGGATAACAGTAGCACTCCTGGGGTCGCTGCAGGGTTAGGTGAGGTAATACACGGTATTTGTAGCAGTGCTTACCATGAATCCTTCTGTGATGTATTTTTATTGCTGGCCATATGGTTTTCAGCAAGTTATGCATCACTTCTATGTTCTCATTTTAAAACGAAAATAGTCTAGGCCAGGCAGGGTGGCTCATGCCTGTAATCTTAGCCCTATGAGAGGCTGAGACAGGAGGATCACTTGAGCTCAGAAGTTGGAGACCAGCTTGAGCAAAAAGTGAGACCCTGTCTCTACTAAAAATAGAAAAATCAGCCAAGCATTGTGGCAAGTGCCTGTAGTCGCAGTTACTCAGGAGGTTAAGGCGGGAGGATGACTTGAGCCCAGGAATTTGAGGTTGCTGTGAGCTAGGTTGATGCCACTGCACTCTAGCCTGGATTGTAGAGTGAGGCTATGTTTAAATAAATAAATAAAGTAGGGACAATCACAGCAGTTCAGAGGCATTAGAACTATGGGAGTTAATATCTGCTCAAGCACTTGGCACTGTACCTGACATATAAGTGATTAATGAATATTAGCTGTACCTTTATAGAAGCAACTCGGGTTTTCTGGTAAGCTGAACCTTGAGAACAGAGATCAAACCCAGGAAGGAAAGTTCTCCTTGTTAAGTGGAAACAGTCTCTGCATCACACAGCAATGAGACTCTGTTGCCACTTCCTTAGGGTCATCCATTTATAAGTCCTCAGAGATCTTTAAAAAGTTCTTGTCAACTTGCATTGACAGCAGCAACATGAGGTGGCATGGACACCAAATTTGGCTGTATAAGCAGGGAGAAAGTGCCATGGAAAAGAGGAAGAGCCGTTTGCTGTCCCCCTCCCCCACCCCCCGCGGCTTTCTTCTCCTCTCACCCTTCATCTTCTGAAAAAAGAGCCAAATCCAGAGTAGGCAAGGAGGGGCAAGATGGACCACAACCATCTTACATAGGGATGGATGGAGCAGGGAACTCAAGGAAGGTGGCCGTGACCCAGGCCCTGAAGAGCTGGGTGTCAGTTTTAAGTCTGTCCACGTCAACGCTGGACTCCTGGTTTGCTTCAGAAAGGCCCTTGGAAGGCTTTTGCTACCCTCATTGTGCTGTAGAGTGGAGAACACATATGTAATGCCTGTTTCAGAAAACAGGGGGAAGAAACTTCTCTCTCTACCCTTTAATCCAGGAAAATCACTAAAATGTTAGGGCTGCGGGTAGGGTAAAAAGAAAACTGCAAATCACAGATGTATCCATCTTGTTATAATACTCATTGTAGAGCAAAATCCTTCAAAATATGGTCAATAGGAGAACTATGTGATGACCAGGAGCCACTTAGGAAGTTAGAAAAGAGTCTGTACATTCCTCAGTTAAAAATAATTGCTATGTGAATTGCTACTCCAACCTAGATTTATACCCAAGTGAAATGAAAACATATGTGTACACAGAAGCAAGGATATGAATGTTACCAGCAGCATTACTCATGATAGCTAGGATGTGACGACAACCTGAATGTCCATCAATCGATGGGTGAATAAAGACAATGGGGTATATCCATGTAAAGAATACTATTCGGCAATAAAAAGTGATTTCATTTCTATGAACTGCCCAAACTATCAAATCCATAGAGACAGAAAACAGAGCTGGGAGGAAGTGGGAGGCAGTTGGGGGTGACAGCTAAGGAGCATAAGGCTTTGGGAAGATTCAAGAAAGTATAAAATTCATTATGGTGATGGATGCACGACTCTGTGAATATACCTAAAAAGCCATCAAATTGGGTATTTTAAATGGGTGAATTATATGGTAAGTAAATTATATCTCAACAAAACTATTGAAAAATCAAATGAACAAATTATTAGAGAAATTCAAATCAAAATCAACGAGATATCACCTTGCACCTGTTAGAATGACTGTTATCAAAAACACAAAAGATGGTAAGTATTGGAGAGGATGTGGAAAGAAGGGGACCCGTACACAACTGTTGCCAAGAATTAAATTGGTGGTGACCGAGTTTTCCCCCAAAACTATAACTAGCACTGCCACATCATCCAGCAATCCCACGACTGGGTATATATCCAGAGGAGGTGAAATCATTATGTAGAAGAGGCTGCATTGACTGCAGCACTATTCACAATAGCCAAGATAGGGACTCAGGCTACGTGCCCATCAGTGGATGAATAAGGAAAATGTGGCCTATACACAATGCCAGTCGGCCTTTAAAAAGAAGAAAGTCGTGTCCTTTGTGAACAACATGGGTGAACCCGGCTAAGCGTAATAAGCCAGACAGAGGAGAAATACTGTGTGATCTCATTTCTATGTGGAAGGTACAGAAGTTGAGCTCACAGAACGGTTACCAGGGGTTGGGGGGATATTAGGAGATGTTGGTCAAAGAATCCCAATTTATAGTTAGGAGGAGTAAGTTCGAGAGATCTATCGTACCACCTGGTGACCATAGCTAGTAACAATGGATCGTATTCTTGAAAATAGCTTAAAGAGTAGATTTTGAATGTTTTTACCACAAAAAAAAAGAGGTACATATGTCAGTGAGCTCCGTTTAGTCATTCTACAATGTATACATATTTCAAAACAACATACTGTACATGATAAGGATATTCAAATTTTATTTGTCAAGTTTAGAAATAAATAAAAGAACTTTTAAAAGTCAAATCAGGGAAGCCTTGAGACCTTTCATGAATAGTACCCCCCCAATAAAAAAAGGAAGGTCGTAAAAGCTGCCTGCTGGAAGGAGCAGGATAATATATAGGTAGATTTGGGACATTTCAAGATCCAGGTTCTTAATTTACTTACCTGCCTGAACATTCTCATTTGTCTTTTTGAGCCCTCCCCAAAAGTCTATCTTAGTCACGGCAGCCCGCAGAGACTATTTTCCTTTTATGAACATACATTAAAATAGTGATCTCTTAGCAGCCAGGTAGCATTTAGGTTAAGAAGTACAGCGATCGGCAGTCCCGCTCCTAGGTACGTTCCTAAATCGTCACGTGGAGGAGACATGTGCTGCTGTCACAGTATCGTATCTATAATTCATACAGGAAGATCAACTCTGTGACTTCATGTGGGTAACTTTATTGTTATCTTCTGTTATTTAGTTTGTCTAGACAACTGAGGACATACTTCCTGTGTGATGTATGTATGTACGATGTCTTACACATGGTAGACCCTGAGAAACACAGGTGATAAGATAAAATCTGTGCTGAGAGGTGGTGACCGAGTCACGTCAATGCTCACCTTGTCTTCCAGGTGAAGGCTTCCACAATTACCACCATACCTTTCCCTTTGACTACTCTGCAAGTGAATTTGGCTTAAATTTCAACCCAACCACCTGGTTCATTGACTTCATGTGCTGGCTGGGACTGGCCACTGACCGCAAACGGGCCACCAAGCCGATGATCGAGGCCCGGAAAGCCAGGACTGGGGATGGCAGCGCTTGACAGTGGAGCAGCCTTCCAACCTGTCTGCCACCGGCACCTCGGTTCACGCCTTTTGTTACCGTGGTTCTCTTGTTTGTTGGATCCTGGGAGGGGGTCATGGGGAGGGGGGGAGAGAATGGAATCTGTGTGGTTTGGGAATTTTTTGTTTGTCTCAAAATAAGGTCAAAATACAACTATCAATGAAAAAAATTTTAAGTCAATATTACTATGATTTAACCTTAGAGTGTGGATATGTGATTTAATCACTGTAGCTACCATATGTCAAACACACTTTACCATGATGTTAACCCTGACGGGATGAAGGAATTCGATATTCTTCTGGTGTGATTCAGGAGAGCACTTGTTTCATTTTCTACCAACTAACCCAGCGTTGCTTTTAAACACACCATCTGATGGAGCAGAGAGGCAGAGGGTTGGAGACAGAAGAGGGGCCAGTAGTGACTAAAGAATGTTTCTGTTCTGTAATTAGTGTGTGTGGGTGGGTTTTGTTTAAGAGAATTGAAAACTGTAAAACATGAGAATACAGGAAATGGCTCTTGTTTTTTGTGTTGTTGTTTTTTGGTTTGGGGTTTTTTTTGCCCTGTTAACAGCTTGTTAATGCTCCACCGTCTGCTTCAAAACAGATTTGTTCACTGCCCGGGTAGTTTTGTGTCCTGAGTCCTATACCCTGCCCACCCTATAAATCAATCAATGCCTGGTTTAGATGTTTGGTTTTGTCCTCTTTGTTATTGTCATTTTAAAGATATATAACTCAGACGTGCAGACATCAAATGAAGCTCAAATTAAGCTCTCATCTAAATGTGTAGACACCTAATTTATATTCTAATTGATCCCAGCCGCTGATGCATGTACTTTAGCTACTTCTGCTAAATCAGCATATTATTTTCCCACACCACACCATCAGAACTTAATAACCAACAGTTATCTAGAACCCCGTGTCTACTAATGTTTCACCTGCATGCAGCCTTCATTGATTTCGCAGCAAAATATAAAGTGATCATTATGTAGCTTCTGGCTTAAAAAAAAGTTGTGTGTGTTAAGTTGCCTTGTAAAGAGCATGTTGAACTAATGGGACAGTGTGTCCTTTGTGTTAGATGTTCGAGCAGAAGAAAGGCCTTCTAGTGTTGGTATGGGAACACGAAATATCTATCCCGAAGATAGATATTTTCAGGAAAGATGTAGGACTTTAAATTTTTAATTTTAGAAAAAGAAATGATGCCAATTGGAAACTGTCATAATGCAGTTCTTCATCCAGCAGGTGTTTAACAGTGTTATTTTGCCATTAATAACGTGTAAACTGTGAGTGATTTACAATAAATGATTATGAATTTGTTGGTGGTCTTGTCCAGATATTTAAATGCTGTTTAGGGAATGTTCTTTCGAGAGTGCTTGAGGCTTTGATTACCATACAACTCACATTTGATTTGGGCCTTGGGTTGACCACAGGGTCTAAGAGCAGGTCTCTCCCATCCCATCTGCCTCATCCCATCTTCCAACCTGTCTGCCGCAGGCGCAGACAGAGGAGAAGCCAGCAAGTTTCACTGCAGTGCAGAAGGCCCAGTGGTCTTGCTCCCCACTTCTCACGCCCCGCCACTGCCACTAGCACTGCTTCTAGCTGGTTAAGTAGGGACCTCCACTCCTCCATGTCCCCCAAAAGAGCATGAAGAACTTCTTGCTCTGTCAGACCCAGCAGGCCCCATTAGTGGTGACCAGAGGTCAGGGAGACACACTCGTGTTCTCAGTCCTGCCTCCCTCGGCCTTGCCTCTGTACCCTTCACACCCCTGCCCCGTCCTCCACAGACTCCTATCCTACCTGCATTCGAATGGGGTTCCAGCTACTGGGCAGGGGGGTAGCAGACCAGGTCTTGTCCTGTAAAGACCCTCTGAACACAATGGTGGCGTTTTTCAGCTGCTTCATATTCCAATCACATATTGCTAAGACCCTGTATTGAGCGTTGGTGGAGTGGTTATAGTCCAAAATGAGTTCTTATCAATATGGCATAAAATGGCCATGATTGGGAAAGTACGAAACTTAATTGTCCATTAGTAGAAAAGATGACATCTGGAATAGCTATTTGGAATCTCACAAAAGGAGACTATTCCCCAGCGAGTCCAGCAGAACCTCACCCCTCCAAACCCAAATGGCATCTCTTTATCTACAACTGGGTCCATGAATGACCTGGGATTGGGATGATTCAGAGCAAGAAGTGGACAAAGGGGTGGCGCCTGTGGCTCAAAGGAGTAGGGCACCAGCCCCATATACCAGAGGTGGTGGGTTCAAACCCGGCCCCAGCCAAAAACTGCCAAAAAAAAAAAAAAGAAAGAAAAGAAGTGGACAAAGATTAGATCACCATAGTGTCTTCCTGGTTAGTGTTCCTTGCAGGTATCGGCAGCATCTAAAGGAAGAAAGCAGCCTTAGGGGCATTTCCCAAGCCTGTCCAAGGAGGCCCCAGAGAGACTGGTACATTTTTTGAAAGGTTCCACTTAAGGTAAGGGAATGGTTTTAAATCTCAGCTCTGCAAGTCACATTTCAGAAGCATTCACCTTCATCCAGGTGAGGGGAGCCTGGGAAGCAATGCCAACAGTGCACATCCCACAGGTGTCACGCAGCTGCCTGCAACCAGCCTGCAGCCAGCCTGGGATGCCAAAGCCCACACAAATACAGCTCACGAACTCAGCTCTGCTCCTGACCAGCTGGGTGAAAGTCTTTGTGGAGTCAGTTTTCTTATTCGAAAAGAAACAGCATCTGTGGCTCAGTGAGTAGGGCACTGGCCCCATATACTGAGGGTTGCAGGTTCAAACCCAGCCGCAGCCAAACTGCAACAAAAAGTAGCCAGGTGTTGTGGCAGGTGCCTGTAGTCCCAGCTACTTGGGAGACTAAGGCAAGAAAATCACCTAAGCCCAAGAGCTGGAGGTTGCTGTGAGCTGTGACGCTACAGTACTCTACCAAGGGTGACATAGTGAGACTTTGTCTCTTAAAAAAAAAGTAAGTTAAAGCTATGTTCCTGGCTTCGCACTCATAGCACAGTGGTTACTGTGCCTGCCACATGCACTGAGGCTGATGGGTTCCAACCCAGCCCAGGCCAGCTAAACAACGACAACTGCAACAAAAAAAATAACCAGGCATTGTGGTGGGCGCCTATAGTCCCAGCTACTTGGGAGGCTGAGGTAAGAGGATCGCTTAAGCCGAAGAGTTGGAGGTTGCTGTGAGCTGTGATGCCATGGCACTCTACCCAGGGTGACATAGTGAGACTGTCTCAAAACAAAACAAAACAAAAATCGCTATGTTCCCATTCAGCCCTAACATTCAAGGACAGCCACAGAGACAAAGATATACCTGACTTCTGATTCTCAAGTTAGCACTCATCCTCTCTTGGACCTGGAAGGTCAAAAAGGAGGGGAAAATAATTGAATCTCTGTGGGAGAATGCAGACTAAGCCTGAACGGATAGAATGTTCTTGATAAAAACAATGCGTGTGTATTTCACTCATTCTCAAAATGCAATGCAGCAATAAAAATAAACATAATCCACAATGAAAAACAACCTAAGGAAAGGAAAGACTGCAAAAAGCTCTACAGCCTAATGGGGTGGTAGAAGTAGAACTGAAGTCGGAGTCCTAGAATCTGAGTTTGAATTCTAACTCTAGATCTGACTTGCTGTGCTCCCTGGGACCTGTTTTTAGGCCGAACCATAGGAAAGTGTCATTTACTCACCCAGCAAGCCTCTCCAAGCCTCATCTACAAGATGGGCACCCACCAGCACTTGTGCACATGGCATGAATCTGGAGGTCTCATCACAGGGCCTGGGGTTTGCAGAGCCCCAGGAGACACGGGCTGAGGGTGAGCAGCAGGCCCAGACACAGCTGGAAGCCGGATGTAGTGCAGAGAAATGCAGCCTGGAGATGAGGTGGCCCGGCTTCTAGGCCTGGCTTTGCTACTGCCAAGCGGGATGGCCCTAACCTCTGGAGCTTCAGTTTGCCTGTCTGGAAAGGAACCCGACTGGGCTGGATTATCCTGCCCAGCTCTGCCATTTGGGGAGACTTCCCCTCTCTGAAGAACTCCCTTGTAGCAACAGGCCTCACAGGGGCCAATCTTCTGCATGTCCCTCGGAACCACTGGGCTCCTTACTGCACCTCACTGGTCTGTCAAGGGATGAGTCTGACCCCCATCGTCATTTCTGCTTCAATCCACTCACTTTTCTCCTCGTCAGCATCTGGGATGGAAGCCTGGGAGAAAGGAGAGAAGAGGTTGACGCTGGTGGATGAGAATGGCCTTTGGAGATTATCCATGAGGTTCAGTTATTCATTTCCCTCCTGTCCCCAGTTACAAAGGAGACTGAAAGCCCATTGTGCCCTCTCAGTGGCTGCTCATGTGAAAAGCAAGGGAGGAAAGAAATACCCTAACTTCTATAATTTGGTTTTTTTATTTCCCCATTTTTAGTTCATGGTGTAAGTCAGAATCCTTTCCTTCCCCTTCCTCTACGTCAAGGATGTGCTATAAATGAACTGGAAATTCCTCTCCTTGTTCCCGCTGCTGTGAGCCTGTAGCCCCCCACCCCCGCCTGGAGTCCCTGATCTCTATGTCTACAGCATCAGAAGAGACAAGAGGAAAGCCCTGGTCTCAGGGTGTCACAGTGCTGGTCCCTGAGGGTCACAGAGCTGGTCTCTGGTGTCACAGTGTGGGTCTCTGGGTTTCACAGTGCAGGTCTTCAGGTGTCACAGTGGGGGGGTCTCTGGGTGTCACAGTGGGGGTCTCTGGGTATCACAGTGTGAGTCTCTGGGTGTTTCAGTGAGTGCCTCAGTGTGGGTCTCTGGGTTTCACAGTGGGGGTCTGTGGGGATCTCAGTGCGTGTCGCAGTGCAGGACTCTGTGTTGCAGTGGGGGTTTCTGGGGGTCTCAGTGTAGATCTCTGGGTGTCACAGTGTAGGTCTCTGGGTGTCTCAGTATAGGTCTCTGGGTATGTCAGTATTGGTCTCTGGGTGTCACAGTGGGGGTCTCTGG